GATCACTCAATGGAACTTTGCAATGGTACACGATTGGTTGTGACCAAACTCTCAAATCATGTTCTCGAGTGTAAAATTCTTACTGGCGATCATGTAGGTGATAAAGTTTTGATACCTCGGATGACCATTATTCCTTCTGATGTTAGAGTGCCATTCAAATTCCAAATAAGGCAGTTCCCCATTATGGTTTCTTACGCAATGACTATAAACAAGAGTCAATGTCAATCTTTACCCGCGTGTTGGCTTATTTTTTAAGAAGCCAGTTGTTGTTATGTGAATGTTAACAACGATCTTAAAGATGGGTTTACTTGTTGATCATTAACGATTTGAACGTAAAATATGTATGAAATGCTCAGCAATGGCCCCGGTCCGAGGTGAATCGAGGTGAAAAGCTTCTGTGAGCTGTTTCGTGTTTCATCGTAATTTTTTTTTTGGGTCCTTTTACAAGTACTATTAATTCGCTATTTATAGTAACTTTTTTTTTATACACATATCGTGAGTCGTGCATAGCTTTTTCTATAAAGCTACTTTTGGTGGGCGGCAGGATCAGTGGGCCCCACTTGAATGATAGCAGACCTCGTATTTTGTAAGAATGGCGTGTAGGCGCCTTGTCACCTGCTTAGGAGGTGACGACCTCGGTTTGTGTTGATCTCGGTAGGGATGACCTCGGTTGGCAATGATCACTTCGGTCTTCTATGGTCATACCGGTTCGTCATGCGAACCGGGATAACGTCGGACCAGGTCGGTGTAAGCGTTAAATTGCCTGAGACGCTATTCAAGGCTCTTAATAATGGATTACCGAGTCGGATGATAACACCAGTTTTTAGTCATGGTCAATTATATGTCGTTGTCTCTCGTGTTACTAATAGAAAGGGTCTGAAAATTTAATTTGTAGAAAAGAAGGTTTGAAAGAAAATCAAACCAAGAATGTTGTGTATAGAGAAGTGTTTCATAATATATAATTTTTTTATACGTTGTATTTCTTTTGTTTTTTTCCTATTAAATCAAACTATTAATTATTAAGGAAAAGTGTTTAAAATTAAGTTTGGAAAAAAAAAAAGTTTGAGGAAATAACCCACCGTGCAGCGCACGGGTACTACACTAGTTTGTAGTAAAACTGAGTGAATTTTTTTTTAATAAAAATACTGAAATCCCAAAATCAGGATTTTCTCATCAAGATAAAGAGGATAAAGTCATTTATTTTATACAAATCCAAAAGTTCCGGTAACTATTCAGAAAATTTGTTGTACTCCCAAACATAAATTTAAACTGTTGTGTGCATGCACTTTTAAAAATAAAATGTACACTACATTAGGATTCCACCTGAAAATAACGAAATTAATCTTCTACATTCAATTAAAGTTTTAAAAAATAAAGAATTTAAAGTTATCTTCTACTGTTCTACATTCAATTAAAGTTTTTGAGAAGCTATCGAAATACAAAGAAGTTTTGGAACAATCTAATAAAATTTTGAATAATAGTTATTATATAGCGTCGATATGAACTATCAATCAATCTTATTTTGTTCTTTCGAGAAATATGAAATCTATATAAAATTGTGAAATTCATACAAGTAGTAATAATTGTATCAAAATAAAAAATAAGTAGATGATCTGAATAAAAAGAAAAGGAAAATGAGTCCAAAATAATAATAAAAAAAAATACCTGATCCTGTTCGACTCAGATTTTTATCTGCATATTGTAATGCATATCTAATTTAAAAAAGAACTAAACAGATTTATGGTCTCCATCTAGAAATAGAAAACAAACTAGGTAATAGTAATAGGTCTTCTACATACGAAAGATTAAGTCCGATGCTAAAAATCTATTTTACTTTTACCATTATCAAAATAAAAAAATAAATTAATTCATTATGAAATAATTTTTGTATTTTATTAATCTATTTTATCCTTACTAGTATTATTTATACTTGTATAAAAGTCATCTCATTTTCTAGAATTAGCAAGAAGAAAAGTCAACTCATAATTAATTTCACACCATATTTAGAAAGTTTTTAAATCTTTTAAACCATAAAATAGGGTAGCATTAAATGCCCCTAAAATTATGAGTTTTGTTGAATTCATTGTTAAAAATCTGCAAATTTACGTGCGGTTTTGAAGTGAAAATTTGATTCAAAATTTGTTCTCATTTTAGTTACAAAAAATTGGGTTGTATTCAACATTGAGACCAATTTAAAAATGATTCCTTAAATGAATGAAACAAAAAATCGGGTTGTATTCAACATTGAATGATCATCGATCGAAATCATGTTCAAATTAAAAAAAAAAAACGAAGAAAGGTTTAAAAATACCTAAATTACAAATTACTTAAAACATTACAGACGAATACGAAACACACACAGATCTGTTGATTTCGTTTTGATTTTTTCATTTATCAAAAACGATATCTTAAGATCGAAAAATACCAAAAAAAAAAAAAACAAAAAAAAAAAACTTATCCTGCCGATCAACATAAGCAATGACATAATAGCCAACATCGAACATGAGTTTGTACTGATTGAACATAAAAAAAAAATCATTTTTTTTTAAAAAAAAGGTGAAGATAGAGCGGAGAGTAGAGATAAGAAGGACAAAGCGGCGATGAAAAAAAGGGACGAGAACCCTACTTTATCAGAAATGGGAGGTATTTATATTTCGTGCGATTGCAGCCGTTAGATCGTAATATAGAAATTAGGACGGTCAGATCGAATCTTTACTCGAAATTGGGCCGTGACTTTATTTTTTGTATAGCACCGAATACAAATGCCACATGATGCATTAAAGATTATAGACTTGGGCTTCAACTTATTAGTCCCAACATTAAATATAACAGGTCCATTTAAATTGATGTGTATTTCAAAATGTATGTAATTATATCCTAAATATATCAAGATTAGAATATTGTTTGTTTTTTTTATTAGTAAAATAATTACCATTAATTAACAATAATTTGTATATTTAATTTATTATTTTATTTAATTTTAGTATTTATTAGAATATCAAATACTTAGAAAATTACAATTGATTGTGTTACACAATGTAAATTCAATGATTTATATCCTATTGTTTATTGTTTTCTACATTTTTACAGGTTCTATGAGGTCGCCTGTTGGCAACGGATCATCTTTTATTGCTCACCGAAACAATAATCAATCGAATGGTTCTTCATATCAGTATCAAAGTTTGTTACATGGTTCCCAAAACTTACCGTTATCTGATGTGACTAATGGTATTGTGTTATTCAATTCATAATTTAATTGCATAATATAATTTATTTAGTCTTTATCGAAAGCTTTTAAAAAATATATTACATTACATTTCTATGTTTACTTTAGTTCTTGTGAAAGGTCGTCCTTCCACACCGATTGGGAAAGGTCGTTCTTCCACACCGATGGTTAAGACTAACAAAGTTACTAAAAAAGGTAACACATATTTTTATTTTATACATTTATTATAATTAATTGGTTTGTATTTTATTAGGTTAATATCTTACATTACAATTATTTAATTAATTTATTATTCAATTAATATGTGATAACAAATAGGTTATACAACATCGCTACCGAGCCATGTATCATCTTTGATTCCTCAGCCGAGCTCAAGTAACCCCAGTTATATGTCTTATAAGTATCAAAGTGCTTTGCATAGTCCTCAAATCACGCCTTTATCTGGTGTCACACATGGTATGCTGTGTTGAACGTATTTAAATGTACTTTATTATTTTCTTTTTATGATTTAATTATTTTTTTGTTATCTTTTGTTTAATGTAGAGTTAAATCTCGGTTCTTCTTCTACCCAAACGCATCAAATCTCACATAATGTTAAAAATAGTAAGTCATTATTAGTATTATTTTATGATCATTATCATATCTATTATGGTAATAAAATTTCTCAACATGACTTTTCTACATGTGCAAATAATTATCATGTTTCTTTCAGCCCGTGCCATAAAACCTAATGACAGTTTGTCAAGAAATACTATGCAAAAAAATGTCATAGACCTTTTAAGTGATGACGATGATGATGATTGTTCGGGAAGTATGCATAATATGCCCCCGAAACAATCAAACGCAAGTAAGATTCATATCTTTCATTGACGTCAAATTCTTTTATTATTTATATTATTGTTTGTATACATAAATAAAAAAATAATTTAAAATGTACAGTTCGTCTTTCACGGAATTTCGTGCCTGCTGTTAATGAGAATAGAAAGAGGTCTTTGCCTATTCAGTTGAATGATGTAATAGATCTCACCGTGGATGATGATATCCCCATTCCAGTTCCCAAAAGAAAACGTGGTAGACCGAGAAAGATTGTTGGATCGACATCGGCCCAATCCGGTGTGTTTTATGTTAATATAACATCAACTTTTTTTTTTTTCAGCTCATTTGTTGCAATTTAATATATTTTTAAAAGTTTTAACTTTTGCAGAATATTGGGACATGGGTGATGCTGACTGTCAATGTATTTATTGCGGAGCTATGTTTTGGTATGTTGAGCGCAAGTCTTCTACAAAGGCAACAGATCCTACTGAATATAAGGGTTGTTGTATGAATGGGGCGATACAATTGCCTGTTCTCCAAAATCCTCATGCATATTTAAAAGAGCTTTTACACGGAGATAGCCGGAATAGCAAACACTTTCAGGAGAATATCAGATCGTATAACAGTATGTTCGGCTTTACTTCTATGGGCGGGAAGATTGATACATCCATCAACAATGGTACTGGACCTCCGGTATTCACTCTACACGGCCAAAACTATCATCTAATTGGTAGTCTACTTCCATCCGAAGGTTCAACTCCAAAATTTGCGCAGCTTTACATCTACGACACGGATAATGAATTATCCAATAGAATGAATGCAGTCCGGTTAGTATTTTACTTAACAACTCATAAAGTCATTTAAAAATTTATCCTTTTTAGTCTATATGTTGGTTAGTATCTTTTGTCAACACGTATTTGTTGATCTGATTATTATTTTAAATTTCTGCTTTTTATAGGAACTCTGATGGTATTTCTGATTTGCATGAGGAAATTGTTGCCCGCTTGACAATAATGTTGGACGAGCACAATCAACTGGTTAAGTCGTTTCGTATGGCTAGGGAAAGAATTCAACATCACGGCCAAAGTGATATCAAGATTCGCCTAATTGGAAGGAGATACAGTGATGGTAGATTTTATAACTTGCCAACAAGTTCTGAAGTTGCTGCCTTGGTCGTTGGAGATTTTGATCAAGCAATGGGGGAAAGGGATATATTGGTTGAAACAAAAAGTGGACGCCTACAGAGAATCAATGAACTTAACGCTTCCTACATGGCTTTGCAATATCCACTTTTGTTGCCCTATGGCGAGGATGGGTACAGAGAAGACATCCCATTTTCTGATCTGGGAGAAGTAAAAGAAGATGGTCGAACAACTGTGAGTATCAGAGAATATTTTGCTTTTCGGATCCACGATAGAAATCACGAACCATCTACCATTCTTTCGGCCAGGAGACTCTTTCAACAGTTCATAGTTGATGCATATACCATGGTTGAATCC